TTGACATGTGCATTCAGCGACCTTGCAAGGGCAGTTTCGGCTCGAGGAAAAAGTCCATTAACCTTTCTCATGTGTTTTTATCTTAATTCTAGTCCCATTAAGAGCCTGTGTTCCATGTGTACTAAGTATTGCTAGACACTCATTATATCTTTATTTCTTAATCTTTCTTAATTTGTTCCTATTCATAACCAATTATTTCACCTTGAGAACCAGTGCATAAGTAAGCCTCACGCTGTCCTATTGTTTGCATCTTCTTTTATTCACTTGCAATATAGTCAGTGGCGATGCCCTCGTCCAATTCTTCGACTGTATGCCCCAAAGTATAAGGACTAGTACTGAGAAATATTATGAGAAAGGGAGATATTTCGAATATGTTAATACAGAAGGACTTTACCCCCCCCCCGCCCTCATCGCCCCCAATATCGTTCAGTAGTTGTATTATTAGTTTATATATTTACTTAAAATTATGTTTTGATTTCTCTTTCGATCAAACATATTGTTATATGTTTTATACTGTATGATATGTATTATTTTCAATAATTAATACTTCAAGGGGCCTTCTTAAGGGGGTTTCACTCCTGCAGGGATCAGCCACACCATTATTGTTATATGTTGTATTTCTGTTGATGTATTATATTTGGTTAAATAAATCATCAAAATTCTTCACTAACGAAAGTTTGAGAATGATGATAATGATCACTGATGATATGATATTGCTAATAATGATGATAAACCCAAGACGGAAATAAAACAGAAAATGATGATAAGAACGAATCATAAAGAAATACAAACACATTTCCGTTTATTTACAGCTGACTCTAAGTCTTCATCGGGTATAGGAGTAATAAAGGACATTTTTGCGTCCTTGTCCCTTCAGCGCTGCTCCGCCATTTTGGTGACGGATGGCACAGTCTCGACGTCTGCAGTCTATGAGGTTTTTAAATCATATAAAAGACATGCTTATGTCAAAATTTATCATCTATATATTTGTGTCTAAATGTGAATGAAAAATAATATAAAAAACATGTGACAAAATTTATCATACATATTCTTGTTAAAATGTGAATGATGCATGATACAAAAGACATGCTTATGACTCAAAATTTACCATCCATATTTTTATTAAAAATATGGATGATACATTATATAAAAGACATAATTATGACTCAAAATTTATCATCCATATTTTTTTGTGTTAAGGAAATGCTGATATGGGTAGAAATTCATGAAAATGTTGGTCTTATTTCTAGGTACTTGCTAGTATTCCAGCTCCGTGGGGCGTGGGTGTGTTCGAAATGATCTTGGACAAAAATAATACAACTGAAGTGGAGAATTCTCGAATAATACGCAATGCTCGAAAGGTTTGGTGATGTTACCTTTTTATGTCTGTTTTGTGGATTTCCTGATGTGGTTCTTACTTTGATGATCGTATTTTTAAAATTAGTTTTGTTTGATGAATTCGAACTGTGGTAATTATGATAATGATAATCATATAAAGTGATTTGGAAAAAGCATAATTGAGGTATAATCTTGTTTTTTTTTTGTTTTTTTTTTGTGTATGTGTGTGTGTGTGTTTGTGTTTGTGTGTGTCAGTGTGTGTGTGTTTGGGATCACAGTTATTCACATATTTATAATAAAGGCCCTATCGATCATATATCAATACCTCTTGGATAGTAATGATAACGATAGTAATAACCCTTCGTCCTCTGCCTATTCCAGTTGCGCATGTCGTCCTGGTGCGTGAACGTGGTCGTACCGAGCGACGACCCCGCCTTCCTGGCCTCCTTCGCCGAGTCGTCGCTCCGGGGCCGCCTCCTGGTGTGGGCCACGAGGCTCCTGTCGTCACCCGCCTGCCCCTTCAGGAGCTCCGCCGGCTCCTCGCCTCCTCCTGGACCTTCTCCATGATGAACGCGATGGTCGTTGTCTTGGGAGAGGAGAACTCTGCCCGGTAATGTTATGTTGATTCTCATGATGTTATATTATTTTTTATTTCTATATATATATATATATATATATATATAATATATATATATATATATATATATATATATATATATATATATATTGCTTGTTTGTTTTTTATTTGATTTTATTTTCATTATTATTATCTTTTATTCATGTGCGTGTGTGTGTGTGTTTGTGTGTGTGAGTGGGATATTTACTTACACCTGCGTTGACATTATTGATGATTGAAAAACAACCTTTCCTGGTACTGTATTTAGTGATAATATAATCTTCATAAAGAACAGCTATTTTTATTCATTTTCCCTTTATTGGTTATTCAAAAAGACTTTTCTGGCATTGCAATTAATGCAACCTTCATAAAATAACAACTATTTTCAGTCATTTCCCTCTTTGTTGAAAAAAAAACTTTCCCGGTATTGCGATTAGTGATAATACAACCTTCATAAAATAACTATTTTCACGTGGATAAAAATTTACTGCATGATGGAAGGCAATTCCTCATATTCTAAAATGGACCTGGGACTGAAAACATCTTTTAAAAAAATTACGTCTACTTCTGTCATTGAATGTGACGTGAATGAATGGGGATGATGACGATGATGATGATGAGGAGGAGGAGGATAATGATAATAATGAGGAGGAGAAGAATAATGAGGAGGAGAAGAATGAGGAGGAGGAGGATAATGATGATAATGAGGAGGAGGAGGAGAAGAAGGATGATGATGAGGAGGATAATGATGACAATGAGGAGAGGAGGAGGAGCATAAAGATGATGATGACCAGAAGGAGAAAGAAAACTGTGATCATAAAGATGATGACAAAAAATAGTAATGATGATATCAACGCCTTACCCCCAGCATGTACTCCCACCTGCCGTATAGCCCAAAAGGAAGCCAAGTGGTGCGTGTGGCTCAGTGGACCCCCCAGCGTGGTCTAGCCATTCGAAGTGGCTCAGCGCTCTTCCCTGAGAAATTCGATAAGTAAGTCTTTGGTTTGGTATGTTATGTCACTTAACTTTGTCTTGGGATTTACCACTTGTTTTTGTGTTATTATTTACCACTTGCCTTTGCGATATGATTTATTCTTTTATTTTTGAGATGGAATTTATCATTTAATTTTGTGATATGAGTTAATACCTAAATTACGATTAAAGTTCCAAAACACTTATATGTGTATAAAGTTTAGGCCATTTTTTAAAGGTCTGACATTCTTTATTTTCAGCTTTTACGGAGGTACGATCAATGTGACAGCGAAAAACTATAAGCCTCTGTGGTTTGAGGTAGACGAGGTCGCAGCCAGTGGTAGGGTTACGAAAAGAACGACTGGGATGGACTACCTACTTCTTGAGGCCGTGTCGAAGAGCTTGAATTTTACGTACAACAATCTCTATGTCGATTCGTGGGCTGAGGTTTGTGTTAATCAGTCAAGCTAAAATCGAGAAATATGCTCGAATTCTCATATGAAAAAAGAAAAAGGATGTGTTGACGTGTATTGAACTACTTCATTGATGTTATTGGTTCCTGCTCTGCCATAATTTGATCCCGAGACTGTTAAAATGGTAAAATTATAATATACAAATTAAAATATTAAGAGAAGATTAATCTGCGTCGACCAATATTTTATCTATTCAAGATTTATATATATACACACATACACACACACACACACACACACACACACACACACACACGCACACACACACACACATATATATATATATATATATATATATATATATATATATATATATATATATATATATACATACATACATAATCTGCGTCAATTAATGGTTGATTTATTCAGACTTTTTTTTATTCCAGGCTTTGGACCTCACAAGCCAAAGGGTCTCCTTCGTCACCCCCGTCTACCACGCCGTCCTCGCCACCCGCCTGAAGCGCTTCGACTACAGCTTGGGCTACACGTTTGCCTTCATCTCCTTCAGCATGAAAAAGCCTGAGATTCAGCCTCAGTGGCAGAGTCTGTATTACCCTCTGGCGGACCAAGTGTGGCTGGCTATCCTGCTGAGTGTGGTTCTAGCGCCGGGGTTCCTGTTGGTGGTGTGTTTCGTGTTTTTCTATTATCTATACTATTTGCGACAGTGTGATGGATTCCTTGTATTAATTTCCGTGCATTTGGATTTAAATGTGATTAATTGCATATTCCAGCCTTATAAGAAACATTGCAAAATATAGGATACAAATAATACATTCAACGGTAAGAATTTGTAATTTGTACAACCAATCCGAAACTGGTTCCTCACGCCCCCAGGTGGCCCGCATGGAGGCTGCTCTCCTGGGGGTTCGAGACGCGATGACGCTTCGAAACGGCTTCACTCTGTTGTTCGGATCGCTGCTTGGGCAAAGCGTGGACATGGGGAAGACCACCAAGAACGGCTTCCGCGTGCTTGTGGGAGGATGGTTGATCTTTGCTTTCATCATAGGAACGGCTTATCGGGGGAACCTGACCGCAGCTCTCACCCTGCCCAAGTACCCGCCGCGACCCGAGACGATCGAGCAGCTCGTGGGCAATGCTAAAACGTGAGAACGTGCAAGACGGTATTTCCTATACTGAGCACATTTTTAAATTTTATGTAAAGTTTGCCGCGTTTACTAATTTTACCGTGTAAAATTTACCACAGTAGCTTGTCTTTGATGATGATGAGGAGGAGAATAATGATGATAATGAGGAGGAGGAGGAGGAGGATAATGATGATAATGAAGGAGATGAGAAGAATGATGATGATGAGGAGGATAATGATGATAATGAGGAGGAGTATTTATATTTATATATTTAAGCCTCATGTGTATAATATATTTTCCCTCAGGGTAACCATCATGCCGTGGGGAAAGGACTTCAAGACATACTTTAAGGATTCGGAGTCTCCCGTGTTCGAAAAGTTGTCCGATTTGATGCTCGTGGGAATTGACACCGTCGAGGGACTGCAGCAAGCGATCGACTCGAGGTGGGAAGAAACTGGAAGAACTGGAACTTTAACTGGAATAGTGTTTAAGATGGCTTACCTGAATGAGTAAAATTATGTAAATTAGATATAGTTGAATGAAAAGTTTAAGCATTCTCTAGTGTATGTGTTCCTACCATAAAATAAACCGACCACCCTTATCCCTTCCTCCTAAAAACAAATAAATAAATAACAAAGATAGACCACCCCCATCTTACAACCCCACCTCTACCCTCCCCCTCCCCTTCCCTAGACAAGCACACATGGAGACCATCCACAAGCTAAAACTCGACATCGCCGAGCAATTCACTCGCCTGGACGGTTCAACCCAGCTGTACATAGGCCGGGAGAACGTGATGCCCGGACTCGCTGCCTGGCCTATACCCCACGACGCACCGTACACGCCAAATATCAATCGTTGTCTTCATGCTGTTGTAGAGGTAAATGTATGGTTATATAGGTCGGTTGTTCGCTTGTTGGTATGGGTGGTTTATGTTTTTTTTCTGCATTTTTAAAAATTGGTTGAGGTGTCATTATCATTGTTGTTGGTATTATCATTGCGGTTGTAGAAGTATTAGTATTCACTTATTTGTTGGTGTTGCAGATATTAATATTATTATGATGTTCATTGTTGTTGTTGTTATTATTGTTTTTGTTTTTTTCCTTATTACTATTATCATTATTATTATCATTGCTATTGTTATTATTGATATTATTATTAATATTGTTATTATTATTATCACTATCAGTATTATCATTATTGATATTATCATTATCATTACTGTTATTATCGTTATTATTATTATTATTATTATTATTATTATTATTATTATTATTATTATTATTATATTATTATTATTGCTATCATTATTATTGTTGTTGTTCTTGTGGTTGTTATCATTATATTGTTATTTAATATTCTTTAATTCATTGTTGTTTTAATCATTTTTATTCTTTTTTATTGTTAATGTTGTTATTATTATCACTATTATAATTATTATTTTTTTTCATTATTATTACTTTTATCAATATTATTGTTATAGTTATTGTTATTATAACTTTTTGTTTATGTTATTAGTAGTAGTAGTAGTAGAAGTATCTTTATTGTTATTATTATCATTATCATTATCATTATTAGTCTATTATTGTTTTTGATGCTGCGTTGTTTTTAGTATTACTATTATCGTTATCGTTATTACTTTTATTATTATCATTTTCATCATTATCATTATAATTATCATTATTGTTATTATCATTATTATTATTATTATCATTATCATAATTATTATTATTTATTATTATTATTATTATTATTATTATTATTATTATTATTATTATTATTATTATTATTATTATTATTATTATTATTATTATTATTATTGTTTTTATTATTATTGTTGTTATTATTGTTGTTGTTGTTATTATTATTATAATTGATATAATCATTATTATTATTAATGATATTGCTCCTATTATCCTTATTGATTTAGTATTAAGTTTTTGTTTATAGTTTTTATTCTTTGGTATCATTATAGTTGTCACTTAATATCATTATCGTCATCATTATTATTACTTCATTTATCATTTTTTTTTATTATTATTATCCTTGTTATCATCATTATCATTGTTATCATTATTATTATCATTATTATTATTATTATTATTATTATTATTATTATTATTATTATTATTATTATTAAATAAATTTTATTGTTGTTGTTGTCGATATGATGATAATCCTTAGCAATACTCTTTATCATTATCAGCAAACACTTATATGTATGCGTGTGTGTTGTTATTGTCACATTGTATTTTTTTCCTTTTCGTACTATTCTATAATTCTTTCTTTATTGAGATCGTTACTAGTGTTATAGCTTGTCTGTTTTTTTTTTTTTGTTTTTTTTTTTTTGTTATTATCGTTATTATAGTGATACTATGGTTAGTTATCATAGGGAGTGTTATTATTATTACACGTCAAATATCAATCGTTGTCTTCATGATGTTGTAGAGGTAAATGTTGGGGTTATATAGGTCGGTTGTTCGTTTGTTAGTATGGGTGATTTATGTTTTTTTCTACATTTTTTTAAATTGGTTGAGGTGTCATTATCATTGTTGTTGGTATTATCATTGCGGTTGTAGAAGTATTAGTATTCACTTATTTGTTGATGTTGCAGATATTAACATTATTATTATGTTCATTGTTGTTGTTGTTATTATTATTTTTGTTTTTTTCATTATTACTATTATCATTATTATTATTACCATTGCTATTGCTATTATTGATATCATTATTAATATTTTGTTATTATTATTACTATTAATATTATCATTATTATTATCATTATTGATATTATCATCATTATCATTACTGTTATTATCGTTATTATTATTATAATTATTATTATTATCATTATTATTATCATTATTATCATTATTATTATTGTTATTATCATTATTATTTTTATTTATATTCATTGTTGTTTTAATCATTTTTGTTTTTTGTTTTTTATTGTCATTACTGTTATTATTATCATTACTATAATTATCACTATTATTTTTGTTATTATTACTTTTATTACTTAATATTGTTGTTATAGTTATTGTCATTATAACTTTTTGTTTATGTTAGTAGTAGTAGTAGTAGAAGTATCTTTATTATTATTATCATTATTATTATTATTATCATTATCATTATTAGTCTATTATTGTTCGTGATGCTACGTTGTTTTTAGTATTACTATTATCGCTATCGTTATTACTTTTATTATTATCATTTTCATCATTATCATTATAATTATCATTATTGTTATTATTATCATTATTATTATTATTATCATTATCATTATCGTGATTATTATTATCATCATTGTTATTATTGTTATTATTATTATTATTATTATTATTATTATTATTGTTGTTGTTGTTGTTGTTGTTGTTGTTGTTGTTGTTGTTATTATTATTGTTGATGTTGTTATTGTTGTTGTTGTTGTTATTATTATTGATATAATCATTATCATTATTAATGGTATTGCTCCAATTATCCATATTGATTTAGTATTAATAGTGTTTGTTTATTGTCTTTATTATCATTGGTATCATTATAGCTGTCACTGTTAATATCACCATCGTCATCATTATTATTACTGCTTTTATCATTTTTATTATTATTATCATCACCATTATTATCACTGTTATCATTATCATTGTTATGATCATGATTATCATCATCATTATTGTTATTGTTATGAATATCATTATCATTACTATTATTGCTGTTATTATAATTATTATTACTTTCATTATTGTTTTTTTCATTATTATAGTGGTTGTTGCTGTTGATGTTACTATTATGACTGTTATTATTATTATTAGTATCAGTATTATTGTTGTTATCATTGTAATTATCATTGTTATTAATACCATTATTGTTGTTATTAATTTTCTTGTTATTACTGTTGTTGTCATTATTATTATCATTGTTATTATGATTATTATGATTTTTATTATTATTATTATTACTATTATTATTATTATTATCATCATCATTATCATTGTTATCGTCATTATCATTATTAATAATAATGAATATCATTATTATTATTATTATTGTTATCATCATTATTATTAATATTATTATTATCATTATTATCATTAATATTATCATCATCATTATTACTGTTGTTGTTGTTACTAATTTTATTGTTGTTGTTATGATGAAAATCCTTAGCAATACCCTTTATCACTATCAGCACACATTTATATATGTATGCGTGTGTGTTGTTATTGTCACATTGTAATTATTTTTTTCCTTTTCTTACTATACTATAATTCTTTTCTTTTTTTTAGATCGTTACTAGTGTTATAGTTTGTTTGCTTTTTGTCATTATCATTATTATAGTGATACTATGGTCGTTATTATAGGGAGTACTATTATCATTCAAATCAAGTACAGAAATAAGTGTTTTTTTTTTGTTTTTGTTTTTTTTGGTTCTTTTGGTTTTAATGTTTTTTTCATGATTGTCATCATCAAATCATTATTTTTTATATTATTATGATTTACTTTTGTAAATGGCCTTTATCTTCATGTATTTTGCTATTGTTAGTATCATCACCATTATTACTATTATCATTATTATTGTTGTTGTTTTTAATTATTGTTTTTATTGTTATTATTTTTGTTAATATTACTATCATTGTTGTTATTATCATTATTATTATTATTATCATTATCATTATTATCATTATTATTATAATTATTATTATTATTATTTTATATCAATATAATTTGCCCTTATCTTTTCACTGTACTGTTACGGCAACCTTTTCATCATATTATTATTATACTCTTTAATTTACATGTTATCTCCTATTTTCTTATTATTCTTTATCATGGATAATGATATAATCATTTTCATCATCACTTTGTACCGTTAAAATTGATATTTCCTTTTCCTTATGTATTCCAATATCTTATCATTAATTCTTAATATCATCACTATCGCAAAAAAGTACACGAGAAAGTACCGTTATAGGAGAGGCATCATTACATTTATTTTCGTTAGAGCATCATCTCCTGCAGCACCATCATCATCTTTATCACCATCATCACCATCCTCAACATCATTGCCATCGTCATTCTCATTGTCGTCTGCATTTCACCCTGCCATTTTTTTCTCCCCAAAGGCTGGACTCTACAACAAATGGGAAGCCGAAATGGTAGACCTCGTACGCCTTCAAAGCCGTATCGAAAAGCTCAAGCAGATGAAGAAGCAGAATAAAGGAGAAGAAGAAGAAAAAGAAGAAGGAGACACAAGCAGCAGTGACAACCCCACGAAGGCGCTTACCATCGTCCACATGCAGGGGCCTCTCCTTCTGTTTCTCATGAGCACGTTGTTTAGCTCCCTCGTGTTCGTCCTGGAGATGGTCTGGCATTCGGCGCCGCGCAAAGAGGGCTGTTCGGGCTCAGCTGACTGAGATTCCCCGAGAGAGTAACGGGCGGGAAAGAGCCTTCGGTGGAGAGGACCTGATGGTGATGTGGACTGATTTACTCAGAAGTTAGATTGTAGGTTTTTC